CACATACACTTACTAATATATATTAACCTAATTTTTTAAATGTTGGGATGTTTCAATGTGGTATATAACTAATTCTAACAGGCTCACCCAATTGTTTGTTCAAGCTTCTAAGAAATGGTATCTAGAATATTTTCAACACTCAAATACTTGGAAATATCCCATCAATTTCATAGGACATATTCCCAGAAGAGTAGATAAAATTAGCAACCCAGATCTGTAAGTTACAGCACTGATCAGGCATATTTCTTAAACCAGGGGGCTTCATTGCATCCATAAGTGCAAAATGAAGTAACGTTGAAACCCACTGGCTTCAATATTTTCCAAGAGAAGAATATTCTCCAAATAAGAAGATTTGATAAATATACTTTTTCTCATCTTCATTAGCTGGAAAAAGCTGCCAATTTACCATGGAATATAATTCTTAAGCTATAGTGTACAAATTGCCCTATATTGCAAATGTATTTTACATAGAAAATCAAGTAGGATAAGTTCAAGGCTTATATTTGTCCAATTTTATTTTTGATATTGCAATGCCATAGAAAAATCCATTAAAATGATTTAAAATCTTGGGCTTGATCTGATCCTACAACAAAAGCAGCAACAGTACATGGATCCTATAAGGAACAATTAAATTTACTTTCCTTTATTTTCCTATATTACCTGGATAACTCATGCAAGCTATTTCTCCATTCCATTCTGTAATTAAACAAAAAGCCCAATCTATGTGTTTTTGACTCAAGACTTTAACTACCTTGGGTCACTCCTGATGTGTTGCCAAAATTAAATTCCTGAATAACAGATATCAAAAAGTTTAATCCAACTGTGTTCAGGCTGTTTGAGAAATGATGTAGAGCAAGGCAATTGGGGATATCCTCTCCTCTTCCCTAAACTGTTTAAAACTGTTCCAGAGAGTTGGGCGACACTTCTGAATAGCATGGCAAATAACATAAGGAATGTGAAGGATATCTCCTAATAGAAGTCTGCATTGAAAACTACACAGTGCCTTCCATAAGTGATAGGAAACCAATAAAATATAAAATAGTTCCTAAAATATTAGTAATTTCTTAGCATTTGTAAAAAATATATTATTTCATCATTTAATCAAGTATTTTAATAGGTTACAGAGATTTAAATGTTTTACCTTTGTTTCAGTACTTGACTTTAGAAAAAAAAAATCATATATTAGCAGAATCCCCCCCATGTTTATTCATAATGTAGTAAGAAACATGTATCAGTATTTCTTTTCTCAAGATCATCTAAGATTGAATATTTTCCAATAATAATGCTCTACTAAAATGCCAGGTAACTAACTATGTAAAAAAAAAAAAACACATTAGAGTATGAATGATGAAATCAAAGAGGCTGTGAATGAGAGAAAAACATATGTAAGAGAATGCTGCAAAGAATAAAGATGAATAAAGAACAATTTTATTCGAAAAAATTCTGCAGGTATATGAAAAGTGATAAATAAGTCTCTAGTAGAATGGAGAGCTAGTTTGGTGTAGTGGTTAAGGGACTAGGCTAAATTGAGAGACTGTGATTTCTAGTTCTGCCTTAGGCACAACGCCAGCTGGGTGACTTTGGGTCAGTAGTTCTCTCTCAGCCCTAGGAAGGAGACAATGGTAAACCACTTTTGAAAACTTGCCAACAAAACTGCAACAACCTGACTAGGTAGTCACCAAGAATAATATTGACTTGAAAGCACCCAAAACAAACAAACAAACAAACAAAAACCCAGAGTGAAAAGAATTATTAAAAAAAAATCTCCAAACTCAGAAAGTGGATCCAGCTTTAAGCTGGCATACTGTCCTAAAGGACACCAATGGCCAGGCAGTAACTGATTCCCAGATGTTTAAACAAAATAGGGAAGTATACTGACATTCTGTACAGTAGAGATGTCAACATCCAAGATATCTTGGAAGACATTCTGTATACACAAGAAACTCTAGTACTAGAAGGTAATGTTAGATCAGCACCCTGGTCATTACCAAGTTGGAAAGTACAAGAGTTGATGAGATATCTACAGAAAAATGGCAAGGAACTGAAGAACCAGTAAAGGTTCTAACCAAATAATGTAAACAAATCTGGAAAACAGCTAACAGATCGGCAGAGCTCAATCCACATATCAATATATAAAAAGGAAATTTAAAAGAATATGTAAACTATTATATAATATCTTTAATTTCACTTGCCATCAAAATAATGTTTAAGATCATCCAACACAGTTTAGAATTCTACATGGAAATGGTTCAAGCTGAATTTTGAAAAGGCTGAGTAATAAGAAATAGAATTGAGGAGACATGCTGGAAAATTAAGAAAGCCAAGGAATACCAAAAAAAAAAAAAAAGGAAACGTGTGCTTTACTGACTACAGAAAGGCCTTTGATCACGTCAACCACATCAAGGTATGGAATGTGCTTAGGAAATGGGAATTCCAGAACATCTCATTGTCTTCATGAAAGACCCATACACAGGTCAAGAAGCCACAATCCAGATGGGACATGAAGAAACAGATTGTTTTCAGGTTAGCAAAGAACTGAGGCAAGGCTCTAAACCAGGGGTCTTCAAACTTGTGGACTTCAACTCCCAAAATTTCTCAGCCAGGCACACTGGCTGAGGAATTCTGGGAGTTGAAGTCCACAAGTCATAAAAGGGCCAAATTTGAAGACCCCTGCTCTAAACTGTCCCCTTATATACTCAACCTTTATGCTGAAAATATATTGAGGGAAATTGGATTGGAAGCTGAGTGTAGTTCTAAAAATGGTGGAAGAATCATCAATAACCTGAACTATGCAGATTACAGTATTCTGATAGTTGAAAATACAAAGGATCTGGAAGCTCTAATAATGAATATCAAGGAGCATAGTGAAAATGGGACTAAGAAGACCAAACTAATGATCTTAAATTAAATTAAAGACCAAATTAATGAGAAGAGATACAGCAACCAGTCTTAGAATTGATAATAAAGATATTGATGATGTGTCTTTTAGTATCAACTATCCAAGTAAAGGAACTAGCAGTCAAGAAATATGCCACAAAAATAGATCAGAATCATGCAAGAAATAATTCCCTGTGACACCCTATTAAAGTGAGAATTGGGCTTTGAAGACACAGGATAAAGAGTATTAATCTTTTTGAACTTTGGTGTTGGAGAGAACCTTTGAGAATACCACATATACTGTAGCCAAAAATACACACAAAAAATAGATCACAGTTTTCAGTGAATACAGACATGGTCAAGCTGAATTATTATCTTTTGGACACATTGTGCAAAGACCTAGTGCTCTTTAATGTGGAGAAAGCTGGAAGAAACAGAAAAAGATGACTGGCAAAAAGACAAATGGACTCAATTACCAAAGCAATGGGTATATCACTGGAAGATCTGAAGGACCAGGTTGGGAACAGATTATTCTGCAGAAAATCTATTTATGTGTTTGTTAAGAGTCCACCAACTTGATGGCATATAATCATCGTCATTATCATCATAAGTATCAGTAAGAGTCCTAATCTTGTTTTTTTCAACCCTTCCTAATACATCTTTTTGACAGAAATGAAGCAGACAATTTTATTTTAAACATAAGAAGTAATGAAACAAGATGACAAGGACAAAAGAGTAGCAGAAAACTTTCTAGGCTAGTAATAAGTACTGAGCTAGATTAAAAGCAAAAATTACTCACCAGAGCAGGAGCAACAGTAATTGAATTACATGATGAAAGGTTTGAAGTGCAGAGGAGGGGGAAAAAAATCTAAATGTATATCAACACACAAAATTATCTATCAGAGTGGCTAAATAAATGGATGAAATATGACTCTGAAACCCTGCTTCTTTTACTCTTTCCCCTCTCCTCCAGACAATTTGAGAATTCGTGGATAGCATTTCCAAGTCCATTTTTTAAATGAGGTAGATCAAAAAGCATTAGACATTTACAAACTGTCTTCTTTTAAGTTACTTTCTATTCTGCATTTAGATTATTTAAATGAAGGCTGAGCAAAAGGTAGCATCTATTGGTAGATTTTGAGGTGAACTACAGTAGATAGGTAAAGGATTTGTGATTCTACATCAGGGGTCTGTGGACCGGCACTGGTCTTCAGCATACCAACAAGCGGGCCGCACAAACAAGCAAAGTCCATCCTTGGGATGCAGGCAATATTCAAAACCACACCCCCTCTGGTTCGCGGAAAAATCTTTCTCCATGGCATCGGTTCCTGATGCCCAAAAGGTTGGGGACCTCTGCTCTACATGGTTAAGTTGTAACAGCAACAAGATTTTTCAAACAACATTTATTTCAGGTTTTTGCAATAATGTAAGCTTTGAATAATCAGAAAGTGGCATTTTGTATGAAAGTTGTCTGTACTCAATTCACTTGTGGCACTGAAAAAAAATCTTATATTCAAATACACTTTGAGCATTCTGTTATAGGTATGTGTCTTTTGTACAGGAGGTGGATTTTGGAGTTCTACAAAAAAATTAGGTGGGTCTAAGAAGCCTGAAGTCATTTCCACATAAAATAGTGCCGTATTTACCCATTACTTCAAGCATTTTCTGTAATGCACTATACATATTCAAATCAGTTCACAAACATCATTATTGTATTTTGGTAACCATAATTGTAAGAAAGACTTCTATTATGACAATCTACTTTTAAAGAGAGAAAAATCAGTATCATTCTTGTCCATAGATTACTGTACTTACCACTTTAATTTGTGAGATGCTTACAAATATTTATCCCATAAACACTTTATTTTAACACAGAGCTTTTTTAAAGGCAAAAAGAAGCCAACTCATCTTATACTTTAGTCTGTTTTTTCAAGAACATCAGTAAATAAATATTTATAACTCAGTTAAAAACTGACTGAGAATCATTACTGAGTGAGAATCATTAATATACAAGTTTAAAAAACTGAACGGTCTCTCTCTCTCTCTCTCTCTCTCACACACACACACACACACACACACACACACACACACACACACGGTGTCTGGCATCCAAAACCACTTACCTGCTGTAGATCTGCCAGAGAATATAGATGGATCTGCTGAAGAAGATACTCTCTGGGGAAAATTCTGAGAAAAAAAGAAAGAAAGAAAAAATAAATGCAAGCAGCAAAATATTCTTTAGAAATTTCCTAAGATGAAAAGAGCACTGTCCTACTTAATAGATTCTAGTATATATATATGTATAAAATACTGTAGATATGTACACATTATGCAAGAGAGTACAAAAGCCTGTCCCATGTATATTTGCCAAAAGGGGAAAAAATCTATATTTAAACTGAGATATTAGATATTCAAAAATCAGGTAACCTTTTCTAGTAGATCACCACTCAATTCAAGGGTTGCATTCAAAACTCCAGAAATAGCTTGGCCATTCTAAATCTGCCTAGGGGTAATCTATTTTGATTAATTATCAAATCTCTGTAGGATTCTGTACAGAAGCCAAGAGTGCATGAAACCTCCCCTGTAGATGGAATATATAGCTCACATATATTCATCCTATTCCTAGAACACTTAAAATGGAAAACATTAGCCTTTTCTTACAAAGGTGGGGTAACAAATAAGGATGTTAGCTTTCAAAAAGTGTCAGACTTCACATCAAGCACATCAAACATAGTAATAAATCTTGACTTTCTGATCATATAACTTCATATTTAGGAACTTGTAGAAGCTCACAAACACAACATGGCTAGATAAGTTGTTTTACCTCAGACAAGACAGGAGCTGTATGCAGAGTCAGCCATAGACACCTTATACCACAGAAATAAGGTCATATAGATCTGTCTGCTAAGTGTTTACATCCCATTTTTTCAAGTCAATGGAAATGTAAACTCTCTTTTTCTGGCCTTAACATACCTTATCCACAACAATATAGCAATAATAATAGCAATAGCACATAGACTTATATACCTCTCCATAGTGCTTTACAGCACTGAGTGGTTTATAACATCAGCATATTGCCCCCAACAATCTGGGCCCTCATTTTATAGACCTTGGAAGGATGGAAGCTGAGTCAGCCCTGAGCCGGTCATATCAAAATATGATATTTTGTCTAATATGAGAACCAATGATTCTCACTTTGTCACCTTCAGCCTGTAAAGAAGGTCATTAACTTGGTCATCCCACTTGTGGAAAGTGGGAATCATTGGCTCTAAGTTCACTTCTGAGTTGAGCCAGCAACTTGTACTTTTAAAGACACTCCTAAATAGTAGGTTATTATTTTAGGGTCTGCCACTATTTGCTGGAAGAAATGTGCTTCAAATATATAAATACAGTTGAGCTGTACAATAGTTATATTATTTATTTTTATTTAAGCATGATGAATTCAAAACCAATCAAATCATTTTCTTTAAATGTAAGTATTATGACCATAATCTGAAGTTATGTCCCTTAGTTTTGCTAATGTAATACAGTTTAAATGTTATTTAAATGAAGAATTAACAAAAATGCATGAAAACACACAGAAAATGTAGTGGGCAAAAAAGTGATTTGCGTCTTGTGAGAATTGGAATGTATTGATATTCCAACATTTCCTCAATTTAATTCTAAAGGAAAGCACTCTTAAGGATTGCATGGTGATAAACACATTTAAGCACATTATCAGCAAAAGAATTAGAGTAGGAAAAATATACTTATTCTTATTACCATGGAAACTAGATTATGGGGAAAGCTTTTTTAAAAAACTAAAGCTACTCAATTTTGTTGGGTGGTTTTATGGAACCTCTCTTTATTGTGGAAATGTGTTTTGTTCATTTTGATGGAAGCAAACAGCAGAATGAAGCTGATGATGGCACTCCAAGTGCATTAAGAAGTTTCCCTCATCCCACTCAGAGAGAGCAAAGGACCCTCAGGGCCATGAAGATCATGTGCTTAATGGATGGAACCAGCTGAGTTGCATCCTGGGGCTGAGTGCTTCAAAAGTAATATTATGAACAAATCCCAAGGCTGGACCAAGGACAGTTTAGACAGGACACATTTAGCTAAATTTTATTGGGCATAAAAAAGCACCATAAAATATAATCATTTAGTCAAGTTAATAAAATTTAATAGATTCCTGAAAATTAAAAATTAATCATAAACCAATCCCGTATCAAAAGAGCACCAATAAAATAGTTATGAAAAGGAATGAGCTCCAAAATCTGTGGCATTACCCAAGGAAATTAATTCCAAATTTAGGATTCACTCATTTAACAGATACTGGCATTATTTAAAGATTCCCTTCTCCCAGGTTTTAAAAAGTAGGGAGTTACAGTATAGGTACAGATAAATGGAGCTGACTGAAAATCTTAAATTGAGGCCATAAAGGACTTTAAACAAAAATACCCATGCCTTAAAATTTAACCTGAACCAGATTAACATCCATTGTTGCTCACAGAAAACATAGAGGATCCAAATTTTCAGTCAGTAACAATTTTCACCTAGCCTTTATGGACAAAACCAAATAGAGCATGTTAGATGCTGCCTAGTTGATGGCAATTCTTTCCAAATAGCCTTCTCTGTAATTCATAAGATTTCTAAAATGTCACCAACAGAAGCATTTAAAGTTTTCCATTTACAGCATTTTTTTAAAAAAGCAATTCACATAAGAAGGATTCCATAAAGAATTAACATGTGAAAACTTCTACAAAGCAGTGTTCCATTTCAAATTCATTTATTTTTATTAGACAGTTTAAATAAGTTTGTAATATGTTTACAAAGAGATTTGAAAAAATAATAAAATACAAGGAATAAACCAGGGATGTAGAAATATCATGCACATATTAGCTTCCTAAGATTAATTAGTTGTAAATAATTGAGTAGCTTTTATGTATCTATATATCTACCTCTCCATCCACCGTCTGTCCGTCCATCTGTCCGTCCATCCATCCATCCATCCATCCATCCATCCATCCATCTATCCATCTATCTATCCAAGAATCACCGATAAGCCATCTGTTTCTCGCTTGGAAACTTTCCATCTGAGAGGGTCTGGGGGGATTTGGGCTACAAGCCGCTTCTCATGTCTTTTCATTTCTTTGCTAATAGAATTAGTTTGAGACATAACCTCCAATTCATTTCATCCATCCTCATCTTTTACCTTATCAGGTATGAATCTGCATAAACAATAAGTAATCACCACTGTTCCTCTACAAACAAAACTATAAAGGGTGTGTGTCTACAATTATAAAGGTTGTAGCTATATTTATTATCAGCAGGTCATTAACAGCTAGTTTGTCATTAGATCATTGGAATTTTTTCTTTGAATTAAATAATTTGATAGCTACTCCAAAATACAAATGGACTGGCCTATACACCATACTAAAATCATACACTGGATTTCATTTAAATCAATGGAAAAATATATAACTCAAATATTTTTCTATAAATGAAAAATATATATTATAAAAATTTATTCAGAACAATTTGACAAAACATTATTTTCATAAAGTTACAAATGACAAACATGTAATAACTTTTAGCAATGTACTTATACAAGATAATCTTTATTAGAGGAGGAAGCAATTGAATTATAAGTCAAAAGATAAATGTAAGTCTAGAACTTTAAAAAAATGACATACATGTAGTAAAATAAATTAAATTGTGGCATCTTACTTGACAACTGAGACAAAGCCATCCAAATATCTTGATGCAACTTACTTACTACTTATAAACGGAAAACACCCAGATAGTCTCAAGAATTTTACTGATGCTATACTGATAAATAATAGAAATCTCTGGACACAGGCTCAGGAAGACACGGTGCTTGTGTTTTGTTTTTCAATTTGTTATATTCATTTTAATTTTCTAATTACGGTATTTCATAGAAGTTGAAATAATTTTTTCCTGTCCTGATTTAATTAAAAATTATTTTAATTCTCTGATTTCTTCTAGTAAAATACTTTGCCCCGTCAGCTACCCAATAAACTAATTTAGCTACAAATCCTATCATGCTGAGGAGGGTTGTATTTCACACACCAGGAGATTGCCAGTTTGGGATAGATTGTGTTAAAAATTAAGATGGCTGTATCAATATAGCAACACTGTACAAAACCATCAAGTGGCTTGTTGGTTTGGACAATTTGTAAATTCCACTCTTTCAGTTTATATGATGGGAATTATAGCTTAATATTTCTGTCAGCTCACCAGTGAGGGTTATTCTATAAGCTATGATTAAAATAAAACATGTTTTCGGTGATGGTGAGCTTGGTTTGATTTTCATTTGTTATAGAAGTATTCCTGCAAAAAAAATTTCTAACAAGGGTTTTTAAATTATCTGAATATTCCACATTCTTTAATACTTTAAATCAGAATATACTTAATTAGAAACATTTATTAATAATCTTGCTTTGTTTATACTTGAAAATGATATTTTACAGAAAATGTAAAAAATTGCTAAGCTTTATAGGAAGCTGGTTACTGTTTTTTGCAGGTGGCAGTTTTATAATTAGAATAGATTAAAGTGATTAAATATATGTTGACTATGAACAGAGGCAATTTTTCAAGCAATGTTTTCTAAACATGAAAACAAATTTGAAATTCAGTACAACTTTAAAGGCAATAAATAGAAAAAATGAAATGTTTTATTTATTTTAATAACAATAGTTTTCATGTCTCATATATTTAAATAGCTTTTTCCAAATTTGCTACTAGAAAGTTAAACAGCAGTTTAAGGAGGTTTCTTAAGAACATTTTAAATAGTCCCTGCTTAATGACTACTTATTCAGTGACTCTTTGAAGTTATGATGGCATTGGAAAAGCGGGACTTGGGATTAATCCTTGTAGTTGCAGCCATTGCAATATCCTGGTGGACATGTGATCGCGATCTGGGCACTTGTCAACTAAGTTGCAATTAGAATGGTTGTAATGTTTTGAAGCATTTCTACATTTGTGACTTTCTCTGTTGTCTTCCCACAAAACAAAATCAATGGGAACGCTGGCAGTCAGTTGCAAATCATGGTCATGTGGTACCTTAAGAACCATGTGAGATTTGTATAATGACCGTAATTGGAACTATCAGAACTGCCATCATAAGTCATCACAGTTGCATGATTTTCTATTTTGCAACAGAGTTTCTGGTCTCAATTATCGTC